CCTGATGATGGCAGATGAGATTCTGCCAAAGCGTTGCTACAACTTTAAAAGCACAACTACAATGACGTGGGAAAATACCCGAACAAAGCTGAATGCCATACATGTAAATACCCGTGAAAAGAAATATATATATGTATAATATATATATATATTATATATATAATATATATATTGCTTTCTTTGCCTCTCCAAATTTCTCCTCCCCTGGTTTCCTGAGGCTGCAGGAATTTCGTATTTAAAAAAAAAATGCACCAGTTTCTAGAACTGCAAGAAATTTCAGTTATGGGAGATGACAGAAGGTGGCCGGCATTTCAAAGGTCATGACAAAAATGTCTCCATCTTTTCTTGGGCTGGTTTTGTTGCTCTTTCATGTTTGTTGAGGATCAACTGACAAGCAGCTCCTTTGAACAAGCAATTACCTATCTCTGTCACACAAATATGGTTTAAAAGCATGGCCCCCCACACAACAGAAAAGTTGGAAAAATCACTCTACTGTTCATGCAAGGCAAGTAATGAAGGAACACCTGAGAGAAGTTGGAGCTGGCCTCCTAAATTCGAGGGTCTAACTTTTCCAGGAAAAACATAACCAGAGGTGCCATTTTAAATATGAAAGATAGGATTTGTGGATGCCCCGAACAGTGCTGGGTCATTGGAAGTCTCTGTTCAGGCTCAGTTGTTTAGGAGATGAGGCAGCTGCACCAGTGGGAATTACAGTAAAAGTCCCATAAGACCTTCAAGAATTTCTCCAAAAAAGGAGAAACAGTTTGCCCGCTCTAAATTTAAGAACCGTGTTTCTCCCCCCCACAATTACAAGGACTGAGGAACCCAGATTTCATGCTAGGATAAAGGCACTCTGTTCCTGGAATAAGGGAAAGTAGAACCAATCTGCATCCTTTTGTTAAAGCATCCAGTTCGGAAGATGTGCTTATATACCCTGTTCATCTCTCCGAAGCAGCCTGTCCCTGGGGAGCACCGGCTGGAGGGGGTGGGAGGCTGCCGTTCTGCCTACATAACCCTGAATCTTGCAGAAGAGATCTTGGTGAGGGCAACCGACGCCATGAATTCAACAGCCTTGGTGCTGTCCCAATTGGCTTGGCTGCTTTAGGCAGGAGAGGACCCGTGGTGAAAAGAAGTAGCAGACTTAAATTGAAGAGCCCGCATTCCCTAACTGCTAATTTGCAAGCATTGTGAGGGATTAAAAACTTTTAAAAGGGAAGAATAAATAGCTAAGAACACAATCAAGGTGAGATCCAACTGAAACCAACCAAACCAACTGAAGCTGGGGGAAATTCCAAGAGACTCAATGATCAACGAAAGCATGGGGAAAAACAGCTCGTGAAAGCAAAAAACGGCAGTTAAACAGATTTCCAGACATTGATACTTTTTCCTTTTTTAAGGGTGGGAAGGCTGGCCTCCGTCCTCCTGTTTGATACAAGAGAATCTGCTTTGGATTTCAACAAAATTCCAGCATTCAAAAGAGTATTTTTATCTCAGCTAATTTTCTTTTCCAAAAGAACTTAGAAAAGTATTCTCCTCTCCTTTTCTTCTTCCTCCCGCAGAAGGGCCGTCTTCAAAACCTGGCTCCCAAATGCTTCAGGCAGACAGCGCCCCCTGGAGGGTTCCTAGCCGGGAATGCAGGAACAAATTGTCAGCTCTGCTGGGCCTTGACAAGTAAGACGGTGTGCTGCCCTCCAGCTGTCACGGAGAGAACTCTGCGGCTCTCCAGCTGCTGGCCGGACATCTGAACGGGGCTCCAGACATCTTCTTCATCTCCTGTGGCAAGCTGGAGGTTTGACCCCATGCCCCAGGCAAAGGCACGGCCTACAGAGGGGCAGAGCATGAGGATAAGAAACAGGGAGCAGCCATATCAAGGACCTTGAAGTACTCATCTCTAATGATCTAAGTGCTAGAGCCCATGTAACTGCATAGCCAAAAAGGCGTTAAGAGTTGTTAACCTAATCCTACGTAGCTTTTTCTCTGGTAATATTACACTAATAACTAGAGCATACAAAACATTTGCTAGATCAATACTCGAATACAGCTTATCAGTCTGGAACCCACATTACGTATCTGATATTAGCACAGTTGAGAAAGTCCAGAAATATTTCACAAGAGTTCTCCACTCCTCTACTCGTTGCAGAATACCTTATGCCACCAGACTCGAAATTCTAGACCTAGAAAACTAGAACTACGTCACCTTCGGTCTGATCTAAGTATAGTATATAAAATCATACATTACAATGTCCTACCTGTCAATGAATACTTCAGCTTCAACCGTAACAACATAAGAGCACACAACAGATATAAACTCAAGGTTAATCTCACCAAACTTGATTGCAGGAAATATGACTTCAGCAACAGAGGGGGCAATGCCTGGAATACTCTACCTGACTCTGTGGTTTCTTCCCCAAACCCCCAAAACTTTAACCTTAGACTGTCTACTATTGACCTCACCCCTTTCCTAAGACGTCTATAGGGGGCGTGCATAAGCGCACCAATGTTCCTACCGTCCCTGTCCTATTGTTCCTTTTATTTTTCTTATATGTACCCATTTCATGTATTCATAACTATGTATATACTTATACCTTTTATCTTGTAAGCGACTGACAAATAAAAAATAAATAAAATAAAAATAAATATCCAATCTCCGTGATGGCGAAGCTATGGCACCCAGAGCCATTTCTGCTGGCACATGAGCCGTCGCCTGGAACAGATCCACTGTGTATGTGCGTGCCCCCCCCCCAGCCAACTGATTGTCTGGTATCTGCCGTGCATGTGCAGGGTGCTCATGGGAGATGCGCACGCATGCACAGAGGTACGTGGCATGTGCGGGAGATCCCACACACAGCGCAGGGGTGGGGGGGCCACGCGTACATAAGCAGGGGGTGCGAGCATTGCATTATGGGTGTAGGCACACATGCGCGCACTTTCAGCACCCGACAACCAAAAGGTTAGCCATCACTGTCCCATCTAGCTAAGGAGACAGGCACAGCTGATTGTCTTGGGTTAATTCCTACCTGTATGAGAAATTGGAAATCAGAGATTGAAAATCAGATGCTTGTCAGATGTTACAGCTTTTCTATCCTGCTCTACGTTTATAACGTATCTCCATATGTGGCCAGAACTTGAAAACGACATTTAATACAGCATAGTTTCTGACTAAAAGGGTCTGAGATCGACATATGTGGGCCTGATTGGAGTAGATTGCAGATGTGACACAGAAATATAATTTTATGTCATTTTATTCTATATTACATAGCCTGTTTCCCCAAAAATATGACCTACCCTGAAAGTAAGTCCTAGCTTGATTTTTACATGTGCGCCCAATATAATCCCTGCCCCCCAAATAAGCCCTAATTAAGATCCCACCCACTCCAGGGTGCATGGGTAAAATTTAAGCTAGGGTGGGGATAAGGGGGTGGAGCTGACCTACTACTTACCTTTGGACAGTTGTAGCCAGGCCTCGCACACCCCGACACCTGTCTTGCTGGCAGCCCATTTCTTCTGCAGCCGGCAAGGCTGGCAAGGCTTTCCTGAAGGCCTCTGTAGCTGATAACAAAGCTCAGGATCGATCCAGAGCTCTGTTATGGGCTGCAGAGGCCTTCAGGAAAGCCTTGCCAGCTGCAGAAGACGTTCCTGAAGGCCTCTGACAGCGAAAAGGAGGCCAGGGTCAACGCACACAAGTGAGGTTAGTCAGTGGATGGCATACCCCGAAAATAAGACCTGGTGCCTTTTTTGGTGGGAAAAAAAAATTATGACAGGGTCTTATTCTGGGGAAAACACGGTATTTATTAAATGATTGTATTTTATCTAACTATTGTATTTTACCCTACTCTTATTTTAAAGTGTTTGTATAGGACTTTATTGATAATACGTGTTTGAACCTTGTACTTTGATATTCTACAAGCTAATCAATAAAGCTAAGCTAATCTATTTAGCAACAGAAAGTTTGGGTTTAATTGTGGTCATAAGTCAAGGACTACCTGCATATGCTTGCCTTTGAGAAAAGGCAGGAGGCAAATGTAGCCCTTAAAAATAAATCAAACGTTATTGCAATGACTAGAAAGTAGACACCATTTTCATGCAAAGCTTCAGAAGCAACACCCAGTTCTCCATAATTGCTCAGGCTCACCATCTTCTGTCACGGCATAGCCAACTCGTTCCCCGCAGGCCACCGAAGTTGATTTGGGCAAACCAGGGATAGCAGTGGGACTGTTCTTCTCACCAACTTCTTTTCCCAGGCCCAACATACCATAGTCTGCACGCCCAAGACTATATACAGTGCCTGTTTGAAGGTGGGAACCATTCAAGAGTGAAAGAAAGAGAAGACGTCATGTTAAGAGGAATCCCAATAACGCCAACTGCAAAGATACACAGAAGTCTCCATGATACAAATATATATAAGATCTCTTCAACACCCTCCCCCCCCCAAATGAACAGAGGTTCATGCAAAGAACGAAAGAAAACCCAACGTGAGGAAATCAGCTCTGCCCACTGTCTGGAGTTCGACCCTCATGAGGCTGAATGGTGACTCAGTCTTCCATCTTTCCGAGGTTGGTAAAATGAGGACCCAGATTGTTTGGGGCAATAAACTGACTCTGTATACTGCTTAGAGGGGGCCGTAAGACACTATAAAGCGATATATAAGTCTAAGTGCGATTGATATTGCTCTCTTAGGTGGAGTTTGACCAGGGAGAGCAGCAACCAACTGCTTCCCATGAATCTATACTTCCAGGTGACCCACCTTCTGAATCCAGACAGACAGTGTGATGCTGCCCACCAGAGAATCCAACCCATGATCGGGTGGAATTCTTAAATGCTGTCAGAATCTTTGGAGAATAATAGGTGGCAATTTCTTGGGAACCTGGGAGGGAATAAAAAAACAAATGGGAGATTAATGGAGATTAATGAAATAACAGCAGCCCATTGCCATTTGAAGACCATTTTGCTACAAGTGATTAAAAACTACGTATCAGCAACAAGCATGTGGAACTAATCCTAACCCACAACGTTTGGAGAAACAAATCACTTCTTTCCCCTTCTAGAATAGAAACTCCTGCCTCCCTGCACAACATCAACATTATGGTCACCACAAAAAAGTTTTCATCACAAATTTCATGAACAATGGTATCTTTCTGTTTCTCTATTCTTCATCAGGTAGAGGGAAACCATCTTCTCTTTCTGAATTATTTAGGATTATTTAGATCCTAGGTCCGTGGTGGAGAACCCACGGCACACATGCCAGAAGTGGCACGCAGAGCCATTATTGCCAGCACGTGAGCACTCTCCCAGAAAAGGTGTACTGCGCATGCGCTGCCTGACCGACAGCTGAGTGTCGGGTATCTGGCGCACATGTACAGAGGCATGGTGGCGCACAGGAGACACTTGCGCATGCACAGAAGCATGTGAGCACATGGGGGGGGAGTCAAGCATGCATGTGCGGAAGTGCACAGCACTGGTCATGAGGGTTGGGTGTGCAGAAGCATGGGTAGCGCAAGTCCATGCGGGTTGCACACGCATGCGCAGGAGGCATGGGGGGGACTACGCGCATCGCCTTCTGGGTGATGGTACGTGAGCATGAGCAGGCAAGCGCTTGCACCATTATCGGCATGGGAGCCGAAATAGGTTAGCCACCAATGTCCTAGGTAGAGACAGATATTTCTCTCTCTGGGGCACACTGAGAATATATCTGCTGAACTGAGCTCTACACTGGCAACAGGAAGGGCATCCGACCATTAAAACACTCCGCTAGGTCCATTCAGTTGCCCAGATTACACCCTGCAAGGGATTATGGGGTGGTTAAAGGAAGATGATGATGATGATAAGGTCCTCAGAGATCTCCTTGTCTTGCCAGGATTATTTTGGGCACTTCCTGAATCCCCATCAACCTGAATGACAACCAGGCTCTTCTCTACTATTTTGGGGATCGTGAGATCCCCAAAGATTGGAGCAGCTCAAAATAAAAAGCAAAACTAGCATTATCTGCTGATTTGGGATCCTAAGGCCTTCGGAGAGAGGTCCATCTTACCATGAGCGCACTGGATATATCTCAAGTCCTATGACGAACATCAACTCACCCAACTGGTAATAATTGGAGAGGCCAAACCCAACCACGTGTCCCTCCTGCGTGATGGCAATGGTGGAGTAGGAGCCACAGAAGATATCTTTGATGTTGCCTTTGGACTTACAGCCCCTCTGCTTTATGATGACCACTTGGGGGAGCAACAGCCGCTCTGGTGGAAAAGTGGGAAGATGATTAGGAAGGATCAGCTCAATACTCATGATTCAGACTGTTGGGGGCAACATGCTGACTCTGTAAACCGCCTAGAGAGAGCTGTAAAGCACTGTGAAGTGGTATATAAGTCTAAGGGATATTGCTATTATATTTAATTAAGGGTAGAGGTCTGACTTTCTGGTGCTTAAACACCACTTGCATGGCTAACAATATACATATATACATATATACATACATACATACATTAATCATATTCAGACAGAGATTGCAACAAACAGGACAAATTCAGTACGTAAAGCATGGCTAACAAACATACACACACACACTTACGTATGTTTGTATGTATCGTCATCACATTCAGACAGAAGACAAAAAAATGGCAACAAACAGGACAAATTCAGTAGATAAAACTGGTCCATTCAATAAAATAAACACTGTATCAGAGGAATTTCATTAAATTACAATGAAGTTAAACACTGAACTCACCTAAGCCTCGTCTTCCTCCTCGGGCCACAAAAATTTGGGGCACACGTCCCAGCTGACCATTGTCTCCACACCCACAGGTGTACAGGTTGCCCGCATTGGACACTAAAGCCAAGTGATGGCTCCCTAAAAAGAGGACAAGCTGCTTCATGGGGGCTCAAGAATTCCCCGCAACATTCTATTTCTGAAGACCTGGGATGCAATTGTGATGGGACGCTGAATTATTTTCGTACAGAACTCTATTTTTTCAAAAATACCGGAAGCGACGAAACGGGGCTAGATTTCGGCCTACAAAGCTTGTAGCAGCCTGCAGAAGCCTTCCTCAAGCCTTTGGGAGGCCGAAAAAGGCCTCAAACCGGCCAAAAATCAGCTGTGAGGCACGCACATGTGCAGTGAGGTAAGTTTGCCTGCAGCTCGCGTGCCAGCACAAATGGCTCTGCGTGCCACCTGTGGCACGCGTGCCATAGGTTCGCCATCACAGGCATACACTTAATAATACATTAAATCAAGTATTTTGAATCTTGGCAAGTTTAAGACTTGTGGACTTCAAATCCCAGAATTCCTGAGCTAACATGACTGGAGGAGGAATTCTGGGAGTTGAAGTCCACAAGTCCTAAAGCTCTCAAGTTTGAAGATCCCTGCATTAAATGATTGAACGTGGTCCTTTTTAAAGATGATTTTAATAGTTATTTATATATGCATGACTATCTTTTTTCTAACTACGAATATTACCATAGTTCTATACTATTTATATCTTTGCATTCACTAATAAATAAAATGGATTTTTAAATATTATCTTTCCTTCCCCTCATCTGTCAAGGGGCAATGCTGAGTTAGAAAGTTGATTCCTTTCCTTTTTGCAATTCAAATCATGGGGAACATCTGCCTTTTAAAAAGAAACTTTACTCAGTGGAAGGTAAATCCAGTTGACCAGTTATCAGACTTATCAACCTGAACATCAACCACTGACTAGGTTCATGAATTGACTAAGCGAATTCAGCTAAATGATTTGAGCTGAAGCCAAAGCCACCCATCATGCGCCACATGCACGTTGCATGTGAATCAGACCAGCATGACTTGCTTGCTTTGCAAACTTGGGTTTTCAAAAACCTAAGCTTGGCAAGAAGCACCACTATAGCCAGCGTCACTCACCGGAGGCAATTTTAACAACTGGGACCTCCAACTGTAGTTCTACTGGGAATAAGCTGCCGTTGCCAGACTCCAAATTCTCTTCACCTTTCAGAGGAGCTAGTAAACCAATGACGCCATTTTCATCCTGAAGAAGAAGCAGATGTAGGAGACAAAGAGCCGATGGGCAACCCAAAAGAGGAAGCCAAACACGGCCGCTTTTCTCCCATGCAAAACAGACAACGTACCCGGAAAGCACCCCAAATGAAGACGCGTCCATCTTCTGTCAATGCTGCCGTGTGGCTGTCCCCCGCTGAGACCTGCACCACCTTCTCCTTCAGATCCACCAAGCCCGGCACGGCGTCAGACCCTTCTTCTGAAGTGTCCCTCCCCAGGGCCCCCTCGTCATTGCAGCCAAAAGTGTAGATCTGGAAGAAGACAAGAGTCATGGTGTCAAATTAAGAAGGACATCCGGGAACTTAGGACTTCTCCAGGTTGTCAGTTATGAGTCAATCTATCAACCCAAAAGGAGACCCTTAAAGTAATTTAGTCACTGGAAGGGAGCAGTTATGGGATTACTAGCACTTTTTGTCCCATAGGGGGTGGGTGTTAAGGTACAATCCACCAGAACTGTTCAAATCCGGCAAAGAATCCAAGGTTTCCATTGGATGGACGACCTTCCCCATGTGTTCCTGTTCTTTACCAAACTCAATTTGGTACAGATTGTGGTGACCTGCAGACAACACCTCAAAGATATTCCTGTCCTTTATGTCCTGATCAGTGCACACTTGAGGACTTCATGGCAGCGTGACAGAACACAATTAATGTTGCTAGTTTCTGGGCAAGTTCTGTTTAAGTTGTATGTAGTTTAATCTTATAGCCATGATGGCGAACCTATGGCATGAATGCCAGAAGTGGCACGCAGAGCCGTCTCTCCAGGCATGCCAGCCATTGGCCGCTGCACTTTGGGGTTCCAGCGCACGCAGGAGCACCAGAAACCAGAAGGGCGGCTCTCCGGCGCACATGTGCATGCCAGGAAGCTGAGCTTCCAGTTTCCGCCGCATCCATGTATGCTGGGGAGCTGCTCTTCCGGTTTCCGGCACTCGCCCGCACGCCCACGCTCCTGTTTCGGCACTTGGTGCCGAAAAGGTTCGCCAACATTGTCTTATAGTGTGCCTTATTTTAGTTGGGATGCTTCTGACACAATCAAACTAAACTCAAGAGTGTCCTAGAAACAATTTGAAGCATCACCTTCCATCTTTAAGCAGTTCAAGTCTGTTTTCAGGTTTCAAAACCAGACAACTGAAATTGGATTACCATCGAGATAGCGAGGAAACAAAATGTAATATCAAGCCATGTGTTTGCAGGAAGTTAGGTTGGCCTTTTTGGGGGTGGCCCCAAACTCTTCCTCAGCAGCTTATTCCTCTAACACAGGATTGTCAGACTTGATTTCATTGAGGGCCGCATTAGAGTTGTGTTTGACCTCGGGGTGTGTGCGTGGCCAGCATGATGTTGTGTATGGTGTGTGTGTGTGTGTGTGTGTGTGGAGAGCACACCAAGATGTGTGTCAGAGGTGGTATTAAGCAGGTTCTGACCAGTTCTGGACAACCGGTAGCGGACATTTTGAGTAGTTTGGAGAACCGGCAAATACCACCTCTGACTGGCCCCGCCCCCATCTATTCTCCACCTCCCCTCCCAGCTGATTGGCTGGGTCTTCTTTGGTTGCCCCTGCACAGGAGAACAGAGCTGGAAAGCAGGTTAGAGGGGTGGGGAGGAAATGGGGATTTTGCAGTATCCTTCCCCTGTCACGCCCACCAAGCCCCGCCCACAGAACCAGTAGTAAAAAAAATTGAATCCCACCACTGCATGATGTCCCTTGTGTCCGGGGGTGCCTAAGCATTCTGCCAGTGAAAACAAAGCTCCCAAGCTCCATTTTCGGCCGCAACGGCCTCCTGCAATCCTCTGCCAGTCAAAATGGAGTTTGGGAGGGCCACGCGGCACAGGCACTGGGGGCTGGTCTTTCGCTGTTTTTAGGGAGGCCCTGGAGGACAGATGTAAGCACCCCGCGGGCCAGATCTGGCCGCCAGGCCTTGAGCTTGACACCCCCGTCCTAAGAGAATACTAGGTTCAGGAAAGGCTTGGAAAAGGAAGTGTAATAATTTAAGCCATCTATGCACATGGAACCATGTTCTGTAGGGAAACTAGGTTTGGACTCACCTTGCCTGTTTCGCTCAAACACACTGTATGAACCCCTCCTGCCTCGGCCTGGATGATCTTCTCAGGGAGCTGCACCAGGGCAGGCCTCTTCCGCGCCAGCACATCTGGCCCAAGGCCCAACTGTCCGAGATCACCTTGCCCCAGGGTCAGCACCGATCCTGGCTCACTTTGGTGTGAGGAATGGCTAACTGGATAAGAGCAGGAGGGAGGGGCGTGGAAGAGGAAACAAAATCCACAATCCTATCAAAATCCATTCTGAAAGTTTAAAATTCCAGACTTGAAGATTTAAGTCGGATGTTTTCCTAAACCAAGAGCAGCATCTTCGAACAGGTGATCCTCGACTTACAACCTTTCACTCAGTGACTGCTTTGAAGTTACAACGGCATAGGGAAAAAAAGGGACTTATGACCGTTGTTCACACTTACAACCACTGCAGCTGCGTGACAGAAACATAACAAAGTCACAAAAGTAGAATAAATTCCCTTTAATGGCTCCAACTTGGCCCCAGTGTCCAATTATCCTTGGCTGGATAACAAACTCTTCAAAAAAACAGTGTATGAAGGGAAGAAATGCAGTCCAAATTAAATTAGAAATTAAAAAACCAACACAAACCACACCGACGTAATGAACACAGCAGGCCAGGATGATAAATTGCAGACTTTCAAAGGATAAAGTAGCACCCACAGTTGGAGGATGCTAAAACCCAGATAAGGCTCGACCAAGATAATGTACATAGCAAGGTGCTATGTGCAAATGCCCCACTTATATCCTGTTCTCCCAGCTGCAACTAATGAAAGGGATCAGGGCCGCCTTCTCTCTCGCAAGCCATGTTGCTCCCTTCTCCGTTCCTCCCTGTGTGCCCTAGGATGAAGACGGGATGGCCCTGGGTCTTCCTCTGAATGCCCATCTGGCCTGTGCTCTTCCCCAGTTTCCTCCACAGCCACCGGAGCCACAGTCCCACTCCCTGTCAGCTGCTCAATCTCCCCCTCAGAATCAGACTCCAACAAGGGCATGACAGCAGCATTCCCTTGGTTGCATGATCAAAATTCAGGCATTTGGCAACTGGCTTGTATTTATGACAATTGCATTGTCCCTGCAAAAGTCAATGAGGGAAGCCAGATTTGTTTAATGACTGCATGATTTACTTAACAACTGCGGTGATTCACTTAACAACCATGGCGAAGAAGATTGTAAAATGAGGCGCAGCTCAGCTAGAAATGAAAATTTTGGGTTCAATTGTGGTCATCATTTGAGGACTACCTGTACAAGGTACATTGTATATTCTCTATGCATAATTACCCCCAGGACTAACCTACAAAGTAGTCTGTGGTTGCAGTGCACAACTGGAGGACACAAATGGTGGGTCCTTGCCCCAAAGGTGTTTTTTTTTTTTTTTCTGAACCCAAAGTTAGAGGAGTAATCCAAAGAAAGGGAAAGGGGTTGAGATCCCAAACATCTGGAAACAGCAGTTCACTCACCACTGTACTTTTTTCTTGAGAAGCATTAATGGAGCAAAGCATAAGATCGGCATACCCATCGAGATTAAAAACGAATTTTAAAAAAGGATGTGCAAATTCTCACAATGGCCAAATTTAGCTACATCCAATCGTGCACAGGAAACGAAGCAAGTAAAATCATAGTACGAACTTTCAGTGTTTTTCAATTTGGCCATTTGAAGCTATGTGGACTTCAATTCCCAGAATTCCCCAGCCAGCCAGCTGGGGAATTCTGGGAGTTGAAGCCCACATAGCTTCAAGCAGCTAAGGTTGAGAAACACTGGATCAAAGAAACATGCTGACATCAATCATGGTTAACAAGGGTTTGGTAAACAACAAAAACTATATGGTAAGATAGAAATTTTTGAAATTTTTAGATCTGAGCAATATTCCCAGCAAAGAGCATATCTCACCTTTTATCCGTTTCGCTTTTAAAATGTCATCTTTTTCTAATACCCGTTTTCTTGGCATGTTTCTTTAAAACTGCGGGACAGAAGAGAAGGAAAGAAAAGGACAACAGACATCAATGAAATAAATCTCAGTATGTTAACTTCAAATCAAATATCATTACAGTAGACAACAGAAAGGCCAGGGAGAAAGTAAGAATACAATTCAAAATAATACTAATGTTAAAATAATTTAATGTATAAGAATGGTAGATAAAAAGCAAGTGAAAAAATCTTTACGTTAAAAAAAATGCAAAAAGTGAAAAAATTCCAAAAGTAGAAGAGGTGATTAAGGAAATGACGGAATGTGCAGAAATTGACATTAGCAATTAGAGAGCAAGAAGGTAAAGAATATTACAAAATCTGGGATCTATTTTATCAATGGTTAGATAAGAAAATAGAAAATTAAATGTGTTATAAAAAAGGAATGGTATAATATGCAAGATAATATAATGTAATGATATTATGTAATTGAATATAATGAATTGTATGTTCTCAGATTTGTTAGAACCTAGATTTGCTCGATAAGGATTATGTGAAGTTGTCTAATAATGATATAATAATAATACAATATAATATGTATAGTTGACTTATGTAATATGAACGTATGTTTGGAAGGGTAAGACCGTTGATATTATGACATTGCACAAAAGAAATATACCAACCAACACGCTGTATTTTTGGAAGGTGGTTTTATGTTGATGTTTTATGTTTGTGTTTATTAGTGTTTAAATAATAAAAACTCTTTTACTAAAAAAATGCAATCACTGGAGGAATCTGAAAACAGGTAAAAAAAAATGTACTAGTAGCGTCTAGTACCTTTCTAGTTGGTTTTTAAAAATTTTATCACTTATTTTATTCTACAGGTAGTCCTCGACTTACGACCACAATTGACTAAGCAAGACATTCGTTAAGTGAGTTTTGCCCTATTTTACGACTTTTCTTACCACAGTTGTTTACATGAATCACTGCAGTTGTTAAAGTAGCCTTCTCCCACTGATTCTGCTTGTTAGAAGGTCCCAAAGGGGGATCAATCACATGATCCCCAGACCCTGCAGCCGTCATAAATATGATTCAGTTGCCAAGCGGCTGAATTTTGATCATGTGACCATGGGGATGCTGCAATGGTCGTAAATGTGAAAAACAGCCGTAAATCACATTTTTCAATGCCGTAATTTTGAACAGTCCTTAAATGAACTGTTGTAAGTCAAGGACTACCTGTATCCTATTGGGCTAAGCTCTTAACCGAGGATCTTCAAACTTGGCAAGTTTAGACTTGTGGACTTCAATACCCAGAATTCCTGAGCTAACATGACTTGGAGGAGTTGTTCTGGGAGTTGAAGTCCACAAGTCTTGAAGGTATCAAGTTTGAAGATCCCTGCTCTTAACTATTGCAAGTTGAGAACTTTATTTACATAGTTCTGTGTAAAAAGATAAAAAGTTAGGATGAAAACATCTTAAAAAGAAGTTGTATCTATCAACTAGGTTTTAACAGTAGCTGCATAAATACAATTGAGTTTACTACCTGGATCCTAATAGAAGTTCTCTAGTAGCACCCTGCAAATTTTAAACCCTGCCTCAAAAAAGTTTGGCAACACTCTATGTAATAAAATAATTACTGTCAGAAAGCAGTAAAATCAAATTAAATTGGCTTGAGTGATAAAGAATTGAAAATATCACTATAAAATTGGCCATAAAAGCCACATTTAATTTGATTTTTTTTTTCAATTTAGACATTGCCCGACTCCAAACTGATTCCGAACAGTGTGTAATAAAGTCAAACGAAACAAACAAAATTGCAATGTAATAAAATTGTTACAGAAAAGTCATAAAGAACAAGAATGTATGGCGAGTCCTGCTAACAATACCCACCCCCACACAAGCAAATACAAAAGTTCATCCCAGTTATCCTAACTCAAGACCAGCCAGGGCTGAAATGGGTCTGTGGGAATCACCTTGAGAGGCAGGAGGGGGAGAAGCAACCTAGATAAACGTCAGGAGAAAGGCTGAACAGATTAAGAGAGTTGGAAGAGAGCTTGTAGGTCTGTACACACAAGTCCCTTATATAGGCAGTCCTCGACTTGCATCATTTAGTTTATTTAGTGACTGTTCAAAGTTACAACAGCACTGAAAATAGTGACTTATAACCATTTTTTATAGTTACAACCAGTGGTGGGATTCAAATTTATTTTACTACCGACCAGTAGGATTAGCAAAGTCAGATCCACTGTAGATAGAGCACACCAGTTGAAAAGGAATGATTGCCTTCTCAGTAACAAGCGGCATTGGGGAACGAAATCCAAATTTAATAAAGCCAATGACCCATCCCGTTATATCCAACGGGCCAGTTTTGCATAATGTAAGTTTATCGTGTCCAACTTTTATAGTCTACGGGTTTTGCATGTGAAACATACATGCCCAGATACTTGTTTTCTCCAATAGTTATACAGCGCTGCATGCAGTCTGTTCCTCACCCACTGCATGGCAACATCCAGAGACAGGTGTGAACCATGGGAAGGCTGAGTTCCAATCCAAGCATTAGACAGAGAAGCTAATACTAATTTGCCTCAATTAAAAATGCACGCCATGTAGATTCGCACCAGTGGTGGGGGATTCAAAAATTTTTAGTACTGGTTCTGTGGTCATGGCTTGGTGGATGTGGCAGGGGAAGGTTACTGCAAAATCTCCATTCCTTCCTCACCCTCCTAACCTGCTTTCCAGCTCCGTTCCCCTGTGCAGGGCAACCAAAGAAGACCCAGCCGATCAGCTGGGACTCAATGGGAGGCAGAGAATAGATGGGGGCGGGGCCAGTCAGAGGTGGGACTTGCCAGTTCTCCGAACTACTCAAAATTTCCTCTACCAGTTCTCCAGAAATGGTGAGAACCTGCTGAATACCACCTCTGGTTACGACCTTTCACAGTTACAACCTTTGCAGCATCCATGATCATGTGCTCAAAATTCAGATGCTTGGCCCCTGGTTCATATTTATGATGGTTGCAGTGTCCCACAGTCATGTAATCCACTTTTGCGACCTTCCCCTGTCGATGGGGAAGACAGATTCACTTGACATCCATGTTACTAACTTAATGGCAGGGATTCACTTAATGTCAACTAAAAAGATACTCCTTTGGTCTTTTTAGCTGCCAGAAAAAGAGAGTGGGAGAAAACAAGGCATTCCTTAAAAGCCTAGATAGTCACCCTGGCAGCCCAAAGTTGTCAGAGCATAAGAAGGTTATTGGAGAGCATGATGGATGACTCTTGGAGGTGGATGTGTCCCATTGGAGAAGTCACATCCAGGGGGTGGGGAAAGACCCCCCCAGGGTCAAGGGGGAAATGTATGATGTCATTTAGTGTCGGCTGCACCCAGCCACGTGCCAACATGGCAACTTCTAATAAACCAATTTACTTTTCCCTGAGATGCGGCTAGAGACTTTTGATTTGAATGAGGGTGGATTTGTTGGAGCCCGGACACTTAGCAGCTCTGGCAAGAAATGTCAGGGAACGAGTGGAGCAACACTCACTTAACAAATGTCTCCCTTAACAAAAGAATCTGGGGCTCAACTGGGGTTGTAAGTGGAGGAGTACCTGTGCTAATTTCTAGTTCACAAATAAGCCTTGTAAAAAAAATCCATTCCAATCCACACTGGAATCAAAAAAGCCCCGGAGAAAGAATTCATTCTCGACTTGAATGCCACCTGTCACAGTGGTTGGAAGGGATTCTGCCAGGGAAGAAACAAAGATATTCTCTATCTACAAAGACGAGTCAACTGCAAATGTGCCAAACTTTGGCTAAGAGGCCGAAACTTCTTAATCTCTCTTCTCCCAACTTCTCATGTCAGCTTTGCTGTAGCCTGATAGGAGTGTCAGTTTTTTTCTCTATGGGACACTACCGGGGTGGGCTCCAAAAATTTCAGCAACAGGTTCTCTGCGCAGTTGCTGGGTGGGCGTGGCCATGGGGGGCGTGGTCTAGTCAGCCTCCTGCACCACAGTGGGTGGGTGGGGGGCGTTTTTGCCCTACCCGGGCTCCGGAGGCTCTCTGAAAGCCAGGAACAGGCCTATTTATTTTTTTAATTTTAAAAATAAACTTTATGAAACATCAAAAAATATATACATAATACAAAACATTTCCTAAAATATGAAACCAAAAAGTTATACATAACCAATAAACGTAAGAACATAAAGATTTCTCATTGCTTAGACGGTATGTTTTTATCCAACAACGTTCCAATACTTAGTTCCTATATCTGGTATATACTCCTCTTCATATTTTCTCTTGCCTCTCTGTTTACTTACAGGTTTCTATCCTTTATCCAATTATACCAGTTTTCCCAAACTGTAAAATATTTTGAGTCTTCCTTATCGTTTAACTTTTGGGTGAGTTTATCCATTTCCGCAGAAACAGGCCTATTTCCGGCCTTCCTGAACTTGCAGGAGGCCCGTTTTTCACCCTCCCTGAGACCCCATGCAAGCCCTCCATTTACCTCCATCCAAAGCGGGCCACGTGGGGACTCCTGGGAGAGGAGGGGTGGGTGGGGCCAGCCAGGGGTGGGATTGGGGGGGTTCTCTGAACTTCACAAAATCTTAGCTAGGGGCTCTCACAAACCCCTGCGAACCCCCAGCAGTTCCCACCCCTGGACACCACAATGCAACCTTTCGCTGATAAACCATTTTACGGTGTGCAGTTTAGGTTCTTGGGAAGGGGCAGCAATGTTCCCCTTGCCCTGCTTGTTCAAGGGATGGCTAATTAATCGAAGGAATGTCCTTCTGGAGGGAGGAGTCCTCCTTTCCATTCGACAACCTTTACTGTGATTACATCACCCACCTTCAAGGAGCGAAGGGCCCATCATTCTCACACTGACCATTTTATACCCCGCTTATCGTCTGAAGTGGGCTAAGCACAAGCAGAGGAAATGGCTGAGCCTATATAAAGGGACCTGTGTAAGAATCAAGGGGAGCACGACGGCTCAATGGTTAAAGACACTGAGGTTCGAGACCTAACTGCTGCCTAATGGGATGAGCTCCTGTTCTTTGCTCCAGCTCCTGCCCACCTAGCAATTCGAAAGCATGCAAGCAGATAAATAGGCAACACTTTGGTGGGAAGGTAGGAGCATTTTGTGCGCCTTTGGGGTATAGCTATGCTGGCCACGTGACCACGGTAGTGTCTTCGGACAATGCGGGCTCCCTCAGGCAAGACACAGAGGACTGCCCGCTAGAATTGGACATGACTGGACAGGAGTAGCCTTTACCTTTTATATACAAATAAGGAATTGGACCCAATTCTCAACCCAAAAGACATTAGGTGACACTGCTTTGTTTGTTTTTTTACACAGAGATACTTCTGTTTGAAAAGTCCATAGGGAAAGCAGATATTTCTGGTATCCTGGTCTCAATTGTGGTCATAAGTCAAGGACTATCTGTATATCTGTAGACAACATTCAAGGACACGCAGTTTCCACTACTCTTGAAAAAGCTATTAATCTAAGGATCAAGTAGAGATGAGAATTCTGTAGAGATTCTCAGTCATCCAGGTCATGGTTGTCCCAAAAATGCTTTTTCCAGAAGGCAACTGGATTTTCTTGTTTGTTTGTTTTTTGCTTTTGAAGACATTTCACTTCTCATCAAAGAAGCTTCTTCAGCTTTTGACAGGACGGTGGGAAATGGAAGGATTTATATTCCTTGCAGACAGCTGGTCATTTACATCCTTTTAGAGGGTCGCTGAGGCCACTTGGAGATTTAGCTGTGTTTTCTACAGGTAGACACAGGTAAGACACTGTAGTTTTCTACAGAAGACACAGATAAAACTCCAAGTGGCCTCAAGGACCCTTTAAAACAGAGGTCTCATTCTCGCGGCCCGCGGGCCAATTGTGGCCCACAGGACGATATCCTGTGGCCCCCACCGTGATATGAAAGTATAATATTAGTGCATAATATAAAGTATAATATTATGCGGCCCAGCCTCACCCAGACTCTGCCTCCAGCGGCCTCCAGATAAATTGTGTTTGAGACCCCTGCTTTAAAAGGATGCAAATGACCAACTGTCTGCAAGGAATATAAATCCATCCATACCCCACTATCCTGTCAAAGCTGAAGAAGCTTCTTGGATGAGAAGTGAAACCTCTTCAAAAGAAAAAAAACCAAGGAAGTCCAGTTGCCTCCTGAAAAAAGCACCTTTGGGATAGAGATAACATTATATCAGGCTGAGAGTCTAGCACATGGGGTCTTCAAACTCGACAGCTTTAAGACTTGTGGGCTTCAACTCCCAGCATTCCTCCTCCAGTCATGTTAGCTCAGGAATTCTGGGAGTTGGAAGTCCACAAGTCTTAAAGTTGCCAAGGTTGAAGACCCTCGGGTCTAGCGTTATCTCCAAGGCTATGGATCCGGATTGTGGTTTAGCTGGGAATAAAACCCCACTGGATCCAAGTTAAGATTGGCCCATCAGTCTCTACCAGCGCTTGTTAATCCGATAAGGACTCCCAGGGAGACAGGCCCACAGTTCCAATCCACTACGGCAAAGTCCCTCAAAGTGGTCAACATCCACCCCAAAAGATCAATGGCGCTATCCAAGAGGTTGATGCTATGATTAGTGGTAGGAGTACCAGTAGTTAAAATATAGCATTTTTAAAACTATCCTCATTTAATAAAACAGGGGTCTCCAAACTTGGCCACTTTAAGACTTGTGGACTTCAATTCCCAGAATTCCTGAGCTAACATGACTGGAGGAGGAATGCTGGGAGTTGAAGTCCATAAGCCTTAAAGTGGCCAAGTTTGGAGACCCCTGTAATAAAGGGAAGGAAGGTTGATGATTGATCTGAAACTTCACAAAGGGGTCAATGAGCTGAAGAATTTTTGGGGTGGGGTGAGAGGAGATCCTTGCACCCGGAGTCATTGGAGCCCCACACCAACATTTCTAAAGCAGGGAGGGGTCTTCAAACTTGCAGATTTCAACTGCCCAGAATTCCCCAGCCGGCAGGGCCGGCTGAAGGAATTCTGGGAGTTGGATGTCTTCAAGTTTTAAAGCTGCCAAGTTGGGAGACACACACACACACACACACACACACACACACACACACACACACACACA